TTGCTCCTGGGAGACACCGACCAGAGCACATGGCTGCAGCGAAGAGGGTGTTGCGCTACTTGTGCAGTACGTCGGGCATGGGGCTAGTGCTTGGAGGGCGACGTGGTCCTCACAGGTCACGCTGACGCTTCTTGGGCTGACGACCAGGCTCTGTAGCGGTCGTCACAGGGTTACACCTTCAGCCTTGGCTCCGGCTCTGTTTCATGGCGGTCTACCCGCTCGTCTTCTGTTCTCACCTCCTGCTGTGAGGCTGAGATCTACACAGGGACCATGGCTGCACAGGAGCTACGCTGGCTCACCTACCTGCTGACTGACCTAGGAGAGTCGCCGCGTTCTCCTCCAGTTCTGTACGTAGACAACAAGGCCATGCTGGCCTTGTGTCGGGAGCACACACTAGAGCACAGAACGAAGCACATTGCTCTTCGCTACTTCCTTGCTCGTGAGCTGCAGCAGCGTGGTCAGCTGCGCCTTGCTTATGTGGCCTCTGAGGCCAACACTGCTGATATCTTTACCAAGGCACTTCCGCCTTGTGATCATCAGCGCTTCTGTACGATGTTAGGTCTTGTGCCTACTTGGCCTCACTTGCTCACTTCTTGACCTTGCTTGTACTGTGATCTTTCTATACCTGCATTTGCTTGTTTACCTTTATATATGATCTTGCATGTGAACTGGCCTTTTGGCCTTGCTCTTGTGCTCGGATTGTGTGGTGACGTTGTGATCCACCCTGAGCTTGCTTTGATTTGCTTGACTGGTCTTGTGACCTCTTGTTCTCCCCCACTTTGCCTATGGGGGTGTGTCAAACTCATATTATATAGCTTGTGTAGGCTATTGTGGGGTAGACACTATTGGGTACAGTTTCCTAGGGTTTCCTACTTGTACCCAACTTTGTGCTAGTTCATTCATTCCTCATTCTTTACACCTGTACCACTAATGCGTTAGCTAATACAGGGCGCGTAGGTTAACAGTCACAAGTCAACTATCCTGAGTGTTAACCTATCTGGACCAAACGGTTGCGATGAATTACAACAGGCGTAACTGTCCCTACAGTTACAGGCAGCAACCGGGTAACCAAAGGTTTGCAAGAGTCACTAGCACCTATACATTGTGTGTAATATTTTAGTTTAACAAATCTTGTTATTTACATTCACTATGCAACAAGGTTCCCGCTACCACGAAGACTTCCGCTATCAACTCCAGACAAACCTATCATATACAAGGTCCTGATTTTAACATGGTATGAGAGCCAATTTGGATTATAGGATCTGCCAGATCTCGTTTTGTGAAACAATGTATATTATAAATACCCTTAGAATTAGGCTAGCATCACGCCAGGCACAGAATGCTGTGAAACTTGAGAGAATCCATTTCAACAGACCACTAATGTCACCTAAGGAGTGGCATCTGTGGACCCAGCGCTCGTCGAGCAGGTCATCACCCACATCAACGCACTAGAGAGGCACCATCAACCCATGAGCGTTGACGGCTCCAGCTACGCCAGAAGACCTCCCGATCCTCAAGGACCCTACTCCAAGCGTTCGTTCACTTTCGATAATTGCAAAGCGCAAGTACATGCTCTAGCACAACATGCACATTACGAAGGAATGGCATCAATAAAGAGCAAGTTCCTATCTTCTTCAAAACAAAAAATAACTACGCTCTTTGACGGGAAGTACTTCTACACTTGGAGCCTCAAGTTTGAGCTCTTGGCTGAAAGCGCAGAGATTTAGATGTATAACGACGGATCAATGCCGTTTCCAAACGACAGCTCACCTTAGGAGAAGATGCAGTACTAAAACAAGTCGCTGCTCGCTTATACCGTCTTGATTCACAATCTGTCACATGCGGAGCAACTCAACATTTGTTCCTTCCAACCAGTGGGCGCCTGTGCAACAATCATGGGAGTACCTGCGCACATTATACATGGCAACTGGCACAGTGACGCTGAGTCGTCTACTGAACCAGTTGAACAACGCTAGAATGATCCTTGGAGAGAAGGTAGGGGCATACATCAACTGCTACATCAAAAGCGGCAGAAACTTTCCTAACGATATGTTCGTCACCATCATCCTCGCTGGACTGAGTCCGCAATGGCGTCAGTATATTTTCTCCTTCACACCCAAGGCACGATCAATGAAACCACGCTCTGCGCCACGCTCCTCGCCAAACAGCAGGAGATCGACATGTATAACGAGAGAGGCAACAGAAAGGAGAAAAATGCCTTCTATACAGCAAGGGCAAAAGCACTCCGGACAAAAGGAAGTTGTATGCAAGTACTGCAAGAGGCACACTATCAAGGAGTGCTGGAAGTGCAACAACAGCAACAGCAACAACAACAACAGCAACAGCAACAACAGCAACAACAACAACAACAACAACAACAACAACAACAACAACAACAACAACAACAACAACAACAACAACAACAACAACAACAACAACAACAACAACAACAACAACAGCAACGACAGCAACGACAGCAACGACAGCAACGACAGCAACGACAGCAACGACAGCAACGACAGCAACGACAGCAACGACAGCAACGACAGCAACGACAGCAACGACAGCAACGACAGCAACGACAGCAACGACACGACAGCAACGACAGCAACGACAGCAACGACAGCAACGACAGCAACGACAGCAACGACAGCAACGACAGCAACGACAGCAACGACAGCAACGACAGCAACGACAGCAACGACAGCAACGACAGCAACGACAGCAACGACAGCAACGACAGCAACGACAGCAACGACAGCAACGACAGCAACGACAGCAACGACAGCAACGACAGCAACGACAGCAACGACAGCAACGACAGCAACGACAGCAACGACAGCAACGACAGCAACGACAGCAACGACAGCAACGACAGCAACGACAGCAACGACAGCAACGACAGCAACGACAGCAACGACAGCAACGACAGCAACGACAGCAACGACAGCAACGACAGCAACGACAGCAACGACAGCAACGACAGCAACGACAGCAACGACAGCAACGACAGCAACGACAGCAACGACAGCAACGACAGCAACGACAGCAACGACAGCAACGACAGCAACGACAGCAACGACAGCAACGACAGCAACGACAGCAACGACAGCAACGACAGCAACGACAGCAACGACAGCAACGACAGCAACGACAGCAACGACAGCAACGACAGCAACGACAGCAACGACAGCAACGACAGCAACGACAGCAACGACAGCAACGACAGCAACGACAGCAACGACAGCAACGACAGCAACGACAGCAACGACAGCAACGACAGCAACGACAGCAACGACAGCAACGACAGCAACGACAGCAACGACAGCAACGACAGCAACGACAGCAACGACAGCAACGACAGCAACGACAGCAACGACAGCAACGACAGCAACGACAGCAACGACAGCAACGACAGCAACGACAGCAACGACAGCAACGATAGCAGCCACAGCAACAACAGCAGCCACAGCAGCCACAGCAGCCACAACAACAGCCACAACAGCCACAACAGCAACAGCAGCAACAGCAACAACAGCAACAACAGCAACAACAGCGACAACAGCGACAACAGCGACAACAGCGACAACAGCGACAACAGCGACAACAGCGACAGCAGCGACAGCAGCGACAGCGACAGCAGCAACAGCAGCAGCAGCGACAGCAGCAACAGCAGCAACAGCAACAACAGCAACAACAGCAACAACAGCAACAACAGCGACAACAGCGACAACAGCGACAACAACAACAACAGCGACAACAGCGACAACAACAACAACAACAACAACAACAACAACAACAACAACAACAACAACAACAACAACAACAACAACAACAACAACAACAACAACAACAACAACAACAACAACAACAACAACAACAACAACAACAACCACAACAACAACAACAACAACAACAACAACAACAACAACAACAACAACAACAACAACAACAACAACAACAACAACAACAACAACAACAACAACAACAACAACAACGACGGAAGCTACGCGCAAATGCAGCAAGGAGGAGCGCTTAACCAGCAAGCCACCGGACAGCCAGCGCACAACCAGACAATGTCGCCACCCGCCGTCGCCAGCACTTCATCAGCGCGTATCTTTGCAGACAACAAGGGGAAGAGCAAAGTATTAACCCACGTGGTGCGACATGGCCTCTTCCAGTCAACCGTTTGTCAAACTTATATGCTATAGTCTGTGTAGGCTGTAGTGGGGTAGTTCATATGGGGTACAACACTTTAGGGTTTACTACTTGTACTCCTCATGCTGCTCAATGCAATCATTCCTCGTTCTGTTTTCACATGGTATCAGAGTCAAGAGCAAAGATATCAACATTCTGCCTAAGCAGATCAGCCCAGCTAGGGAGCTCAGTGGCGTCAGGAAACAGTGCGCGCCAGGCGTCGGACAGGTGACCGAAACATCGCTGCGGCGAGTGCGGCAAGCCGCACGTCTCCCCACGGCGCCCGGTGCGGATAACGTAAGTGCAGGGACTAGCACCCCCAGACCTCCCACGCCTTGCGTACCAATTCGCGAAAAGTGAATTCCGCTCTGGTCAAACCTGGATTTGCCAGCGTGTCCAATTTCGCCAGGGTCGCACGGAGTCTAGAGATTGTCGCGATCCGCGATCGTTGCGTTCGTCATTCTGTTTCACGTCAGATTTCGCATGACAAGGCGAAGTCACACAGCAGATGTGGGGAGGGGAGGGGACTCCTCGCTCACACAGCCGCAGCACCAACCAACAACAACCCCTTCACTCTTCACGCTTGTATAAAATGGACAACCATTTCGTTTGTCAAACCACTCTCCCTCAACGTTCTAGTAGCATCAATCACTCCACTTCGCCTAGAACGTCGGGTATTTTCCCCCACTGTCGTCAGCCCCTCTAGTCGACTAGGCTCCTTCCTCCATCGCTCCCCGTCATCCTTTCAGAGGCTAGAACTCTCGACTGTCGCGTTTGTCTTGCGCGAGCGGCGCCGTGCGACGATGACCAGCGCTGGGTCAATAAATAGCATAGGGCTCGCGTGCTTGTTCGACGCCCACGCGCTTCGATGGCGACTCGTGAAGCTGCGACACGAAGGGCCAGGCGGAACCGCTGACCGGGACGCGTGCAGCCGGCGCAGCAGGTGGCATGATGACTGCTCTTCGGAAGAGCCGCGCTGCGCGGAGAGACTGTGGACCACGGACGACATGCCGCGCCTTGACATGGACGAAACGGATGAACCGCCGCGCCGTCACGCGCACGATCCGTCGCGCGCGGAGACCTGGGCAAGAGGTTCTGACTCCTCCCTTTCCCACCCGCCACCTTCGCCCTCGCCACCACCGCCTGCACTCGCGGGCGGAGCAGATTCAGATGTGGGAGCAGCAGCAACGGACTCGACAGCAACAGCAGCAGAAGCAGCGGCAGAGGGGCGGTATGCAGCCCCGTTCCTAGTGGATGAGCTGATGGGCAAGGAGCAGCTGAGGCGCGTGACGACGATAAAGGACTGGGGCTACTACTACTGCAGCCACAACTGCGACGACCCCGAATCGTCTCGCCCCGAAATCGACCCGGATTATGTCTCGCCCCTTCCGCCCCTGGATGCCTTGCGCTCGCGTCTCGAGCAGCTGCTGTCGCGACGCCCGCAGCACGTGAGCGCGCTTCACATGCCCGTGACTGTCGACTTCTGCTCAGGCTGGACGTGGCAGATTAGGGAAATGATGGGCTTGGCGCGCTCATGCGTGAACCTGCGGTCGCTGCACCTTGTCTCTGAGCCGCCAAGACACGCCTCGTGCCCGATCCACCTGGACAATCCCAGCGATTGGGGATGGAAGAAGCAAGCTCAGGCGGAGCAGATGAGGGAGCTTGTAACGAGTTGTCCGCAGCTACGCTCACTGCACTTCATCCTCGGTAGCAACAACTACCTCACAATGAGTGAAGACGTAGCTGCCTTGCTCTCCCGTCTCGGACACCTCTCCCTGCCTCTCTCCGACCTCCCGCCTTACCTCCTGCCCCACCTCTCCTCCCTCCGCTCCCTCCGTCTCTCCCTCTCTGCTCCCCACCATCCCCTCCTCTCCGCTCGTCCCTTCCACTCTCTCTCCCGCCTCTCCCTCCTCCACCTCTCCCTTGGAACCCCCACCACCCCTCTTTCTGAGCCTCTCTCGCCGGACCTGTTTGCTGGGCTCGGACCGAGCCTGTCGTCCTTGACGTTCCTAGTGTGTACAAAGCCAACAGGGGCGGAGGGGAAGAGGAGGAAAAGGCGTGGTGAGAGGGCGCAGGGGGCAGGGGGTAGGGGTGGGGGGATAGAAGAAAGTGTGGGAGGAAGAGGGGAGGAGGAGGAGGGAGGCGGATGGGTGGGGGACGCGTGGGGAGGGGAGGACTCGGTGGTGGGGTGGCTGCCTGCCTCGCTGTGGTCGCTCACGCGCCTGCAGCAGCTCACCACCAACGTGGGAGGCGAGTGGCACTGCACGGGCCTCAACGCCCTCTTCGCCCCCCACGATTCTACCCACCCGCACCAGTGCCACCGGCAGTGCCTAACCTCCCTCCCCAACCTGACCTCTCTCTCCCTCCTCGCTCACTGCACCTTCCCTCCATGCCTCTCCTCCCTCTCCTCCCTCACTCTCCTCTCCATCCCCCTCGCCTCCCCTCTCCAAACTCCCGCTTCTCTCGCGCTCTTCTCCCACTGGCCCCGTTTGTCTCATCTGCACGTCAATGGTGAGGGTTCCGCCGAACCAACATTTTTCCACACCGAACCTGCATCTGGTCACACCGAACCTGCATCTGGTCACACCGAACCTCCCCTGTGCCCCGAAGCAGCCCCTTCATCAGCCTCCCTCCGCCACGTCACTCTCACGGGGAGAGCAGGCGTCATCCCATTGGCGGTGTGGGGGCGGCTGTGCCCTCAGCTGCAGTCGCTCAAGATCCACGGCTCTCCTTTCGTGGCCGTGCAAGGATGGGGGGAGGCATCTGGGGAGGCGAGGGTGGAGGGGGATGTAGGGAAGGGCGCATGTGGTGCAGCAGCTGCGTGCTTCTTCCCTTTCCTTGAAGAGCTTGTGCTCCACAATGTGAGCAGCCATGCGGGCTCTCACACAGGGCAAGGGCACTCAAGACCAGAGCACACTGGCCCGCAGCAACCGCAGCACACGCTCGCATTCATGGGCGTGCTGCCACGCCTGACCCACCTGGCCATCCATGACACCCGATGGCCTTCCCATCCCCAAATGCACGCACCCACCATCCTGCCGCACCTCCTCCCCAACCTCACCTTCCTGCGGATCCACTCCCCCCCACGTGCCCCCCTGCCCGTGCTGCCCCACCTGCGCACGCTCATAGTGGGGTCCTACCCGCACTCCTCGCGCTTCCTCGCGTCGCTCGCCCTCTTCCCCGCCCTCACTGCCCTCCGCATCTTCAACCTCTCCATGCACAACTACCACTCCGCCCTCTCCTGCCCTCCCCACCTCACATCGCTCCAAATCTGCCAATCCCACACTCCCCTCCTCCCTGACTGCCTCCGCCTCTTCTCCTCCCTCACTCGCCTCCACCTCTTCCAGTGTACCCCGCTCCGCGCCCTCCCCTCCTTCCTCTCCACCTTCTCCTCCCTCACTCACTTCTCCTTCAACCGTGGCTACTACCCTGTCGTGGTGCCTGTGGGGCTCCAAGGGTATCTGCAGGGGAGAGGCTGGGCGCGAGAGCAGGAGGAAGAGCAGAAAACGAAGGGGAAACCGAAGAAGAAAAGGGAGATTGAGGAGGAGAGGAAGAGGAAGATGAGATTTCAGAGTGTTTTTGAGGGATCGGTGTTGAGTGAGGTGCAGAAGGAGGAACAGAGGGAGTGGTGGCGACAGGTGGGGAGGAAAGAGGAAGAGCAGTGGGAGTGGAGATGTGAGGGTGTAAGAGGAGAGGGGCAGGACGCGCAGCAGCAGCAGCAGCAGCTGCAGCAGCAACAGCAGCAGGAGGAGGAAGAGTGGCGGCAGGAGGCGGAGCAGGGAGGGGAGTTGGTGCAAGGGGTACAGGAGGTGGAGGTGAGAGGCTCATGCAAGGACCCTATTGCCAACAATCATACTTCGCACGATCAGCGGGCCGAGAAGCAACAGCAGCTGTTAACGCAAGAGGAGGTACCAGCAGAGGTGCTACAGCAGCGGCAGAACAGCAGCAGCAGCAGCAGCAGCAGCAGCAGCAGCAGCAGCAGCAGCAGCAGCAGCAGCAGCAGCAGCAGCAGCAGCAGCAGCAGCAGCAGCAGCAGCAGCAGCAGCAGCAGCAGCAGCAGCAGCAGCAGCAGCAGCAGCAGCAGCAGCAGCAGCAGCAGCAGCAGCAGCAGCAGCAGCAGCAGCAGCAGCAGCAGCAGCAGCAGCAGCAGCAGCAGCAGCAGCAGCAGCAGCAGCAGCAGCAGCAGCAGCAGCAGCAGCAGGAGCAGGAGCAGGAGCAGCTGCAGCAGCAGCAGCAGCAGCAGCAGCAGCAACAGCAGCAGCAGCAGCAGCAGCAGCAGCAGCAGCAGCAGCAGCAGCAGCAGTAGCAGCAGCAGCAGCAGTAGCAGCAGCAGCAGCAGTAGCAGCAGCACTCACGGAAGCAGCAGTGCCGACAGCAGCAGCACGCAGCTACCATGGGAGGTGCTACAAGGTGTGTTGCAGCAGGTGCAGAGTCCTGTGGAGCAGGCGAGCGTGAGACTGGTGTGCCGCGAGTGGCACCACTGGTGCCGCCTCCACACCTCCTGCTTCGCCCTCGCCCTCCACCCCCTCTCACTCTCCTGGCTGCCCGTCCCCCTGCTCCACCCCCCTCCCTCCACTTCTTCCTCCTCCAAGCCTGATTGCAGCGGTCACAGCAGGATAAGCCACCACGAGACGAGAGCTGCAGCAGCAGCAGCAGCAGGTGTCAACGGTTCTCCTCTCTTCTCCTCCGCGTGGCTCACCTCTGACTCTCCCTTCTGGGTCATCCACTCCTCCCCCACCTCCCCCTTCTCCCTGCTAACCTCCTCCCGCCCTCACTTCACCCTCCCCCCTCCCATCACCCCCTGCTCCCTCTCCTCCTGCTTCACCCACTATATAAACAACGAGGAACACCTCTCCCCCGTCTGGTTCGCCTCGCTCCCCTCCCCCTCCTCCCTCGCGCACACCCTCGCCCACTACCCCAACCTCGCTACGCTCGCCCTTCCCCTCGTCTCCACCACGGCCTGCCCCCTCCGCCCCTCCCATCTGCGCTCGCTGCTCGCTGCTGCTGCTGCTCTCCCTGCTCTCACCTCCCTCTCCTTGCTCCTGGAGCTCGGCTTCTTACCTGAATACAGGTGCGGATATGGGCGGCAGGACTGGCAGGACGACTGGTGGGAGGCTGCTGGAACGGAGGCAAACCAGGAGATGGAGAGGGGGCTGTTTGCCGTGCTGAAGAGATGCCGGGGACTCAAGCAGCTGCACCTTCAAGGGGAGACCCTCACGAACCGCCTCAAACTCCCTGACTCACTCTTCCTCCGCTGCCCACAACTCACCGCCCTCTCCCTCCCTCTCTCCCGCCTCCCCTCCTCCCTCCTCCTCCTCTCGCGCCTCACCTCCCTCGCCCTCGCCCTCCCAGCAGAATCCATGCCTCCACAGCTCTCCCTCCCCTCCCCCTTCGCCCACCTCCGCTCCCTCCACTCGCTCGCCCTGCACGTCCCAAGCACCCTCAGCCGCTTCTACCACCCTGAGGAGGGCAGCAGCTGGAGCAGCGTCTCTGGCGACCTGCTGCTGGGGCTGCCCTCGTGCCTCTCCGCCCTCTCCCTGCACCTCCCCATCTCCACCATGCCCTCTTCCTTCTCCTGCCTCACTTCCCTCACTCGCCTCGACACCAACCTCTGGATTCCGGGACTGGATGATGATGATGAGGAGGAAGGGGTGGGAGCGGAGGAGGATGAGGAGGAGGAGGGGGAGGAGGAAAGGGTGGGAGAGGATGATGGTCATGATGGTGATAAGGAGGAGGAGGAGCGGAGCAACGGGTTTGCCAACGCAGGCACTGATGAGAGACTGCTGCCTTTCTGCAACCTCACCTCCCTCTCTCTCTCCCACTACCGATCCTTCCCCTCTCTCATTCCCCATCTCACCGGCCTCACTTCCCTCTCCCTCCCATCCCTCTACTGCGCAATCGACCTCTCTCGCCTCACTCGCCTGGAGGACCTCTTCCTCTGCTGCGACAGCCGCTGCGAGAGGTCCGACTCTGCCTGCCTGCCCCACCTGCCCCGCCTGCGTCGCCTGCGCGTGCAATGCCCTGATTCTTCCGTGCAAGTCGCTCGATTCATTGCCCGCGTAGCACCATACCTGGAGCAGCTTGACGTTTGAGCCGACCGCATCCGCTTCTCCGCGGGAAAACTTTGCGAGTGGCGCACAGACAGTGGTGAATGGTGGGCGCCTGTGTTTCCCAAGCTCAAGGTGCTTCAGCTGCTGGCCAACTCAGGCCCCTCTTCCTATGTCGAGATGTCGCTCTTCCCTGCCCTCGAACACATGGCACTAGCTGGCAATCGTTACGTGGCCTGGGAGGTGGAGAGTGGCTTCTCTGCCAACCTGCGCTTCCTGCACTTGGACTGTGCAAAGCTGTCGGGGTTTGAGAGTGAACCTCAGCTGACGCAGCTGACGGCGCTCACCACTCTGGTGGTGGACAACGCTGACTGCCGGGACTTCCTTGCATGCCTCTCCTGCTTCTCCTCCCTGCACACCCTCCGCCTCTCCAACATCAACAGAGGCTGCTCTCAGCCCTATCTTACGTGCCCGCCTCGCCTCTCCACGCTTCAAATCTGTCGCTGTGACCTGCCGCACCTCCCATCCTCGCTGCTCAAATTCTCCCGCCTCACTCGTCTCGACCTCCTCCACTGGCGCCGCTTGCACTCTCTCCCGCCTTTCCTCTCCACCTTCACGTCGCTCCGCCATTTCAGACTCACCTCCGATGGCCCCATGCCCCGAGTGCCTCCGTGCGTGGAAGAATTTCTCAAGGGCAGGGAATGGTACAACCATTCTCCTTGTGATGGCAGCTTTGAGGATTGAGCATGTGGTTCCCTCTCTTCGTTCTTAAACCCAATGCCGTACCTTACGTACTTCCCCGTATATTCAACCTAGGTTGGTACGGTAACAGATGGTTAATCTTCACTGTAGGGGGCGTAGGGCAGAGAGAGATGAAGCTTTCTTTCGATGCCCCTTAAACTGTACTGTGGGTAAGGCCACAAACTCCCCCGCCCCATCTGGTGCTCTAGGACCTCACAACATCACACCTCAAGCTTCTGAGGTGTTGACAAGATCAGTGCCTTTTGTAAATTTGTATCTAGGATGTGAAGTGTGTTGGGCTGAAAAGCCCTAGGATCTTTGTAGAGTTAAAGTCTGAGTAAGTGATGTAATAGCGGAAGCGTTGAATTAAGTCCTTGAACCACCTTGCGCTAGTATGTGAGGGCAAAGTAAGTTGATTAAAGCAAAGAGATACAGGAATAAATATATGACTACAAAGAATATGAAGAGACATTATGACTACTTTACTGTTGCGGTTCGATATAGTGCGACTCGGGCAACTGCTCAATGTCGAGTCAGTTGTGTGTCCTTGCTGTCGCGCTGCGTCAGGTCAAAGGTCGCTGACCTTTGACTTTCTCGTAACCTCCAGCGGTTACGTTAACTTCCGAGGGTTGACTCGCGATGCTTCGATTTGAGCTGCTTCGCTTGTGTCTTGAGTTCTGACACGACAGAGGCGCTTAAACTATTTGTTCCCAACACTCCCCTTCGCTTCTGGAGTGTCGCTGATGGTGACGTGGCTTTGTCCAGTCAGCAGCATGCAGTACTCGAACTTCTGTTTTCCGAGCTTCTTGGTCAAGTAGTCAGCTGCCATCTCGGACGTGGGACAGTAGGATAGTTTAAGTTTCCCTTTCTCGATCTCATCCTTCACGAAGAAGTGTCGCAGGGCGATATGCTTCGTTCTGTTCGCGAATCCGCTCTTGTTGGCGATGCGAATTGCAGATTGGTTGTCGCAGAACAAAGTGAAGTTGGGTAACTCGGCTAACTTCGCTTCTTCCAGCAGCTCGCGAAGGTAGAGTCCTTCCTTGGTGGCTGAGCAGAGGGCGATATATTCTGCTTCAGCTGCAGAGAGAGCAATTAGTTCCTGCTTGCTCGATTGCCAGGAGATAGGTCCGATAGGTTCGAGGCGGTAGATGTAGCCAGTGCGGGAGCGCCTGTTATCTGAGTCGCCGGCGTGATCGGCATCGACGTAGCCGATTAGTTTCGTCGGCGTAGTTGTGTTTTTGTAGTACGTCAGGCCGATCGTTGCGGTGCTCACGAAATAGTGAAGAGCGCGGTCGAGTTCCGCTAGGTGTTCTGTTTCGGGCCTCTTGAGATAGGTAGCAAGTTGACTTGCGGAGTAGGACAGGTCTGGCCGACAGGTGACGGCTGCGAAGAGGAGGCAGCCCAGTTTTCGCTGGTAGTCGCGTATTCCGGCGGTTTTGAGTAAGGCGGAGCTTCCTTTGCCGTTCCCTGCCGTGTAGCGGTATGGCGTGGAGATAGTAGCGGGTGTGAGCGCGAAGCGTTTGGCGATGGTGTCGGCATACTTTTCGGCGCTGAGGTGGATCGCGTTTTCTTCTTCGCGGATGTCGAGTCCGAGATAATGAGTGACGGTAGTGGAGACCGTGAGTGTGAGGTCCCTCTTCAGCTCCCTTTCGAACCAGGTAGTTATGTCGTCGGTAGAACCGATGTAGAGTAAATCGTCGACGTAGACGATAAGCAGAATGTAGTTGGCGTCTTTGGTGAGTCGGTACATGCCTTGGTCGTGAGGCAGTTGACGGAATCCGATGCGGGTGAGGCGGGTGTGTAGGTGCTGTTGCCACAGCCGTGGGGCCTGTTTGATTCCGTAGAGCGATTTCAGTAGCTGGCAAACCTGATTAGGTTCCCCGTGGGTACCATGTGGGAGCTCAACGAAGATTTCGGCGTCGACGGGTGCGTAGAGGAAGGCGTTAGCAACGTCGATTTGCCGTAGTTTCCTTTTCTTCATGGCGGCGATCGCGAGGAGAATTCGGAGTGAGGTGTGTCGGCTAACCGGGGCGAATGTCTCGGTGAAGTCCCGTCCGTGTTCCTGATCGAATCCTCGCACGACCCAGCGTGCTTTGAACTTCTCGATTGTGCCGTCTGCCTTCGTTTTGATGCGGAAGACCCATTTCCCGGTGAGGATGGTCTTGTTCCTTGCCACGCTAACTGGAACGACTTTCCAGGTGTTCCGTTCCTCCAAGGCCTTTAATTCTCTGTCCATGGCTTCACGCCATTTCTCCTTGTGTTCCCCCCCCAGAGCCTGCTGAACCGTCGCAGGCTCTTTAGGAAGAGGATGGCCGTGGACTATGGTGACGAGGCCGAGAATCTGCAGTCCAGTCTGTGAGTAGCGGGGGAGTGTTGTGTCCTCGGGATAAGCTGCTTCATCTCCCGTTTCTGGGTCGGTTATGAAATCCGGTCCTATTCTTTCTGCTTCGTTGGTGTTGACTGTCGCAGGTGTTACGTAACCATTGTCGGCGAAGTGGTAGAAGACTTCGGCGTTGGCGCTTTCGCGAGGATTTTCTTCGTCCATGGGGACGTTGACGGAGCAGAACGGGAGAGGTTCGGCTTCTTCTGATGCGTTGTCGACGTTCTGCTCGTCCCAGTCTGCTTCGTCCGCGGCTGAGGCGAAGGCTCGGTCACCACGAAAGCCACCTGTGGGGTCCTGATTTTCGTGCAAGTTGGCGAGGTACGTCTGAAGCGTGAGTCGTTCGTAGAAGATCACATCACGTGCTGCTACTGTTTCCTTGGAGTGGACGTCGAAGATTTTCCACGCGTTGTAATTCTTTTCGATGCCGAGGTGTAGTCCCCACTGTGCGCGTTGTGAAAATCTTCCCGCTCGTGCCTCTGGGGGTCGGTACTGTACCATGCACCCGAAAACTCTTAACATTTTTGTGCTGCCCTATTTCCCTGTCCACAGCAGATGCGGTGATGCATTGTTCGGAAGTGAGGACGACGACATCAAGTTGTGCAGCATGACAGCATGGTCCATTGCTGCAGGCCACTGGTGGTTGGGTAGCCGCATGCCACGTAACAGTTTGCGCATGCTGTTCTGCAGAGTCCTGTTCATTCGTTCTGCGACACCTTGCTGCTGATGGGCGTAGGGAAGGGAGAGGAGTTGTTTGATTCCTCTTTCCGCCAGGTACTGCTTGAAGCGCTGAGAGGTGTATTCTCCTCCTCCGTCTGACTGGAAGCTTTTCAACTGTGCTCCCGACTCTCTTTCTGCTACTGGTAGCCAGGCGGCGAACGCTGCGAGTGCCATGTCGCGGCTGGGTAGATTTAGATGCCAGACGTATCGAGTGGCGGCGTCGATGAAGGTAATCGTGTAGTTGTAGGTAACTTGTCCTGGTTCTCGATTGAAGAGAATATCGCTGTACACCTTCTCGAGTGGTGTGTACGCGGGTGCGCTCGGGTTGTGATGAGGAGTGAACGGTCGATGTGGTAAGTCGGCTTCGGGGCAGGTAAGACAAGTCCCTCGTGCCTGTTGGAGTTCTCTGCCGTCGGGTAGTAATAATGAGTCCTTGTCTAGGACTCCTGCTCTTATCGTGTTATTTAACACTGTGTTGCTTGGATGTCCCATTCGTGCGTGCCATATGTCTTCGGAGGCGCGGTGTCCGGGTGAGCGTCGATACGCGTCTGAGTTGGAGTAAAAGCTGGCAACGAAGTTTGCGCTTCTGTGGACTTCTCGTTGAGTTGGTTTCAACTGCTGTGCGGGTATTGGTGGTGTTTCGTTGACGAGGACTAGTGTCGTTGGTCCTGCTGCTGCTGCCGATGTTGTCTCTGCTGCTGCCGATGATGTTTCTGCTACTGCCGATGACGTTTCTGCTGCTACCGATGTTGTTTCTGCTGCTGCCGAATGTTGAATTGTTGCTAACGCGCGTGTTCTTTCTGCTTCAGGGATGGTGTGCGAGTACCAGAAGCCTTCCGGGCTGAAGTCCGGATCAAGATCCGGAGGATGTGTCCAGTCGGCGAAGTTCACGATGGCGTCGCTGTCTGCAGTGCCCAGGTCTGGGACGAAGTCTAGGACGAAGACGTTGTTCTTCAAGACCGCCTTCCCGATGTAGAGGCCGCCTTTCCCGTGGTATAATTTGAACTCCTGGGTGGTACTGTTGGCTTCCAAGTGAATGCCTTTCGCCATCAACTGGCTGACGCTCAGTAAGTTGTAGCGGAGTCCCTCCGCGATTAGTACCTTTGACATATGCAGTATAACATTTGTCTCTCGTGACTGAAGTTGTACTACTCCTTGTCGTCGTGTGCGCAGGTTCTGGTTGTTGGCGACTGTGATGACGACCTCTCGTTGAAGTCGATGTTCGCGTTGGACGAAGCGTCTCGAAGAGCACATGTGCTGTCCGCAACAACTGTCCAAGAACCAGGTATCTTTCCCGGACGGTTCGCTTTGAGCAATGGCGGCGTACGTCGGGTTTGGTTGAAGGGACTCGCGGCGAGGCGTGCTGTTGTTGAGTTGCTCTTCTGGTGAGTAGTATGGTGGTGACTCGGTTGTGCAGGACTCTGTTATCTTTACCATGCAATTGACGATGTTTCTTGCTTTTTGTGCAGGTTGTCCTGCTGGAGTCGTTGAAGCTTGGACTGAAGGTGTCGGGGTAGCTTGTGTTGAAGTGACTTGGCTGCTCGAAGGTCGAAGTTGTCGCTGTGGTGTTGTCGATTGATGACGATACGGGCAGTGCGTACGAGGATGCCCTGAAGTCTTGCAGATGTGGCAAAACGGAGGTACTGGCTTCGGTTGTTGTTGCTGTCGACTGTTGTTGCTGTTGTAGCGTCGCTGGGTGTGAAATGCGAACTCTGGTACTGACGTTTTCTTCTTATGTCGTTCTTCTTACAGGTCCATGTCCTGCTGCTCGGCATGGATTTCGGCGCAGAGTGCTGCTTCGGAGATTCTCCCGTGTGCTCGTAGTATGGCGCGAGTGGAGCGCCAGTGAGGGCCGAGACCGCCGATGACAACCGTGACAAAGGCGTCTTCTGGGATCGATCCCCCACATCGAAGAAGCCTGTCGCGCAGTTCGCGGCAGCGACTGATATACTCCATGCCCTTCTCGCCTGGTTTCATTTCTATTGTTGTCAGCTGCGCCATTAACCGACTTTGGTTTACACTGTCTGTTGCTTGATACAGGTTCTTCAAGTGGTTGTACGCGAGCTCCGCGGAGTTACCGTAACCTCGGTAAGTCCTTATGTTCTGCTGTTCGGTCGGGGTGATGTTCCTCAGTAGTATTGTGTACGCCATCATCGATTGATAGGTGTACTGCTGCTTCTCATACTGTGTGCCGTTTGTTGGATATGGTAGGGACCCGTCGAAGAAGCCAAGGATCGGCGCTCCTTCCATCATCAGCTCGAATTCGAACGACCAGGTAAAGAAGTCCTTTCCGTCAAAAGGCTTTGTCGTTTGTAGTTTTAGAACATGCGCGAATTGCGACTGAACTTGTAATGCGTCCAGCGCTCTCTCTTGTCCCGGTGCAGGTTGTGGTTGCGGCATGAAGCTGACAGAGCCGCGCTGGGGCTCGTACGGAGCGAAGGTAGGTTGTTGATGTTGATTCCCGCGTACGTAGGATGAGCCATCGAGACTCATGGGTGTCACGTTGTTGTTGTTGTTGCTGTTGTTTGATTGCGCAGGTGCTCCTTGCTGGTGCTGCTCGTAGAAGGACATGAAGGAGAAGAATTTCTCCATCATGCTTGGATCAAAGCCCGCGCCTTGGTTTGCGGGTGTTTCCGTAGACCCAGCTGCTGGTCTCGTCGTTGTCCCTTCCTCTGTCTGTAGACCAGAGGCAGGAGGTGGAGTAGGGGTAGTACCGGGAGAGCCGTTGGAGGAGCTCCTCTCCTTTCTAGCAGACATGTCTTTTTGATGTATTGAGTGTTGAAAAAATAGTAACTTTTAACTCTAGCTGCTCTCATACCATGTTGGGTTGAAAAGCCCTAGGATCTTTGTAGAGTTAAAGTCTGAGTAAGTGATGTAATCGCGGAAGCGTTGAATAAAGTCCTTGAACCACCTTGCGCTAGTATGTGAGGGCAAAGTAAGTTGATTAAAGCAAAGAGATACAGGAATAAATATATGACTACAAAGAATATGAAGAGACATTATGACTACTTTACTGTTGCGGTTCGATATAGTGCGACTCGGGCAACTGCTCAATGTCGAGTCAGTTGTGTGTCCTTGCTGTCGCGCTGCGTCAGGTCAAAGGTCGCTGACCTTTGACTTTCTCGTAACCTCCAGCGGTTACGTTAACTTCCGAGGGTTGACTCGCGATGCTTCGATTTGAGCTCCTTCGCTTGTGTCTTGAGTTTTGACACGACAGAGGCGCTTAAACTATTTGTTCCCAACAAAGTGAACCACGCGAAGGCTGCCTGAGTGAATATGCATGGATGTATTTGAAAGGTCCCAATATTGCAGTAGGGGCCCACGATGCTACGATGAATGCACTGTACTCTGAACTTGTCGATGCAGTTGGATATCCGTTGACTTTCCTGTACCGTAGCAGCCCTTGATGCCCCGGAAGTACTTCACCTGAACGGCCGTGCACCTGTTGCCTGTCCCCACCACATACGCATTCGCACGCGGGCCTGTGCCGGCAGTGTAGGAAGAGGTGCTCGAAATGCATGTCTGAAGAAAGGTGGGGAGGAGAAAGTTGAGGGAAGGAACAAGTGACAACAAACAAGGGAACCAACGAGTTTATTTAGTAGCGATTGCGTTTTATGTCTGAAGGGGTGCGGGTGGGGGAAAATGGACAGAGCAAGGGGAAGCAACCAAAACAGGACCGACGAGCATACAAAGTGGAGCGAGAAATGCATTCCTGTGAGTGAAGTAAAGGGCACAAGTCAGGAACAACAAGAGCGCAACATGCGTGAGAGGGTGATGCAAGGGCAGCATATGGATGAGGAATCACGTTGATGGGTGGGGCTCGCATCGCAAGCCATCCAAGTTCAAATAACCCGCGGACGCACCTCAAAGCCAGTGAAGGTGGCAACATCAGTGCATGGCATGAGTCGGTTGCACTTGATGCCAGGTTGAGAAGAGTTAACGTTAATCGACGACCTGGAGAGTGGTGTAGAGACGGAGGTGGGGGCGAGGGAGGGTGGGGTGGCCACACGGAGCACAGTGCGGATTTAGCACGAATGTGGAAAGAAGCGACAAAATTGGTGTGAAGCGTGGAATTGGGGATGCGAGGCGAGGGAGAAATTGGGGCGTTGAGCAGAGCACGCAGCACGGTGGTGAGGTGAGCGTGAGGAGGCACGTTATGGGCTTGGAATTGGGGAAGTGCGAGGACGTAGACCGGGAAGACATCATTGCAATACATGTTGGGTGCGAGCACTGTGCAGGTCGTGTTGCTGCCACGTGCATGCAGCACATGTTCTGTTTAGTTTGGATGACCATTCTTCTAGTTTTGATAATGGGATGGTGGATGAAAACAGAATCAGAGCTCTCGTTTAGTCCAGACAGCACAAACGCCTCGTAAAGTTGGTAACTCAAGCACATGATGATGCACATGGAGCATAGGAATGGTACTTGGAGCGCAAAAGAAGGTACCTAGAGCAGAGGAGAAGGTACTCGGTGCACAGGAAGAGGTACTTGGAGCACAAGAGAAGGTACCCGGAGCACAGGGGAAGGAACCTGGAGCACAAGAGAAGGTACATAGAGCATAGTAGAAGGTACCTGGAGCACAGGAGAACGTACTTGGAGCACAAGAGAAGGTACCTGCAGCACATTAGAGGGTACTTGGAGCACAGGAGAAGGCACCTAAAGCACAGAAGAAGGCACCTGGGGCACAGGAGAAGACACATGGAGCACAGGAGAAGGTACCTGGAGCACAGGAGAAAGTACTTAGAGCACAGGAGAAGATGCCATCGACTGTGGTGCCCTACCTAACGACTATGTACACACACATGAGTACGACCCCGCCCCGCCATTCACACACGTGCCCACCGCATACGGATTGCACTTGGCTGCCTTGCATGCTTGATCTGATGCACCGTGGGAGGGGGGGGGGGAGGACCGGACGGGAGGGAGCGGAGGGAGGGGAATGGGCGGGGGGAGGAGGAGGAAGGGAGATATTGGAGCAGAGCATGGCAAGTGAAGAGCATGGCCATGTGAAGCCATTCAGGAACGAGAGCGTGGGCAGGCACACATGTGCGGGCATTAGAAACCATGCACATATGCGTGCTCATGCACCAACAGCCCGTAATTGTAGATGACGCGGGGTCTACCCAGCTGACGAAGCATGGTGGGACTATGCGGCTCAATGTAGGCGCATGTGTGAGAGTCATCAGCGTTGATTGCTTGGATGACGCGGTAATTATTGCTGCAGTCGCACGTGTTTGTGTTGCCATCCACCATGCACGTGAACTTGCCACAGGGGTTGAAGAGGGAGCCCATAGTATTCACGCATAAGGCACTTTTTCACGGGTCAGAGGTAGTTACGAGCAGAGAGTGGGTTAGCAGCAGGTGAGGTGAAGACGATTCTAGCAAGGAATGAGACTACATCTCAAGAGCAAACACGTGGCTGACACCATGCATGAAGATTTTATTAGACCTTGCAGCGACAGCAGTGTTATAATAGTAAGCACAGTGAGGAGCCATAGCTAGGGTTTAGCTAGCTAGGCAAGAGAGAAATGAACAAAGGAGAGGTTTCACTAGCAGTAGTTGGGATACATATAGCAAACCCTAACAGGGTTGTATTCGCTATAGAGCACCCCACTACAAGCTAAATAATAAAATTCTGACACACCCCCATAACCAAAGTGGGGTGTAATCAGCAGAGCACGCAGTCATAGAGCAGGTTCACAATTGCAAGCAAAGCTAGAGGCTATCACAGAGGGCAAGTGAGGAGGAGGAGAGACTGTGGGGGCGAGAAGATGGGAGGCGACTGCTGAAGCTGCAGACACACAGGAGCTGCTGGCTCAGTGGCTACCGAAGCAAGGGCCCGAACTAAAGGAGTAACTGGCTCCGCGGAGATTGTAGCCTCCTGACTGGAGCAACTGACCCACAGGCGACTGGCAACTACCGGAGATTGTAGCCTCCGGACTACTCGCGCTGCTGACGACACGACGGTTGCCTCCACTCAACCTCCCCCAGCTGCCCCACGCCCCTATCACACACCCCCTGCTGCACCCCTAGCTCCACTCCCACGACACCCCCCTAGCACCACTCCTTCGGCTCCCACACACCCACCCCCCTGAGCGGCAGCTGCAGCAGCGGGAGACGGAGGAGGAGGAGGAGTAGTGGAACGGCGCACAGAAACTGCACCCCCATACCCCCCACCCCCAAAACCTAATTCAGGAGAACGGGCAGCAGCAGAGGTGGGGCGCCGTCAGAAGCACGGAGGGCAGCGGGCAGCTCAGGGGCAGAGAGGAACGGGCCGCCCACGGGCCTGGCACAGCCAGACGAACCGCGCGCAGGCGGCTCGAGCCGTGCGCGGGCCTGGCGCAGCCCGTACGGGCCGCGCGCGGGCCTGGCGCAGCCCATACGGGCCGCGCGCGGGCCGGGTCCAGCCCGTACGGGTCGCGCTCGGGGCTAGCGCAGCCCGCGCTGGCCGGGACGGGCGACCGGGGACGACGGGCTGGTCCCCGTCGCCCGTCGAAGCGCCCCCCGGGGGCGACGCGCGGACCGACGGGGCAGAAAGCCGCCGCGCGCCTCGGGGCGCACGGCGGGCAGAGAACCGCCGCACGCCCCGGGGCGCACGGCGGGCAGAAAACCGCCGCGCGCCTCGGGGCGCACGGCGGGCAGAAAACCGCCGCACGCTCCGAGCGCGCGGCGGGAAGAAAAATCCGTCGCACGCCACGGGGCGTGCAACACACAGAGTAGCAGCGGAAGCAGTTAGGTGGGTCCACAGGCCAGGAGCGTAAATGCTCTGAAACCATGTTACAATAGTAAGCACAGTGAGGAGTCATAGCTAGGGTTTAGCTAGCTAGGCAAGAGAGAAATGAACAAAGGAGAGGTTTCACTAGCAGCAGTTGGGATACATATAGCAAAGCCTAACAGGGTTGTACTCGCTATAGAGCACCCCACTACAGGCTAGAGAATAACATTCTGACAAGCAGCAGCAGCAGCAGTCGAAGCCGTGGTAGAAGCAGCAGCAGACGTTGTCACTTGTGATTGCACTTTGTCTTCTTTACCTCCCTTCCCCTTCTACAGACCGCTCACCGTCTCTACATATTTACGGTGCCATTTTTTCCTCCCCAATGCGCGACTCCGGCTTGTTCTCCTCCTCGGTCATTGCTGTCTCCCCGATGCTCTTTTCCTCGTTACCTATTCTTGACCTCCACTCCTTGTTCCTTGGCACTATGCCTCCTCGTGTTCCGCCTCCCTCTGTTCTTCCATTGCCCACTGCGTCGTCTCTCAGTGTTCCTCCTCTGCCTTACAGTCTCCCGCGTCCTCTTTCCTCTCGTAACTTACCCTAATGTTCCTTTGCTGAGTCTTGTTGCCGGTGTCACTGACTTTACCTCACCATCGCCTTGACTACGCCACCCAGTTGGTGTCTCCCACTCTCCCGTCCTCAGTCGGTCGGGGGTGGATTGCCCTTGGCTGTGACGTCCCAGAGGACAAGCAGTTCGAGCTTGCCTTCCTTGGGGCTACTACTCCTCACCTGTGTGCCAGGCTACGAGCCCGTAAGGGAGACGAAGACGCTGTTGACATCCAGACTCCTCGCACCTTCGCTGAGGTGATCTCGGTTGAGTGGGCCTCTTAGTGGATAGGAGCCGTGGATGCAGAGATGGCATCTTGGAGGTCCAGAAGCACCTACATGGACGCAGTTCTCCTTCCTGGGGCAAACAGAGTCGATGACATGTGGATCTCCAAGGTGAAACGACCACCTAGATTGCTGCCTATCTTCAAGGCACGCTACATGGCAAGAGACTTTGGTCAGCGTGAGAGAGTAGATTTATTTCAAACATTCTCCCCCACCCCCAAAATGACCATTCTTCAGTTAATGCTGCCGTCGCAACAAAGTGCGACTACGAGATGCACTGACTAGACTTCTCCATTGCCTTAACCTTGGGCAGCCTATACAACCAGATATGGCTCCTCCGTCCTCCTGGCTTCACTAGCTCTTTCCCTCCCGTGACCTAGTGGAGCCTGCGTTGGCCAGCCTACGGTCTGTGCTAGGCTCCCCGTGATTGGCACGATACGTTACGTACTACTCTCGCTACTCCCGGCTTCTGTTCTGTTCTGAATAATCTTATATGTATTTTCTATTTTGTTTTTCTTTGCATCTTTCGTATTTAGTTCCCTTTCCATTTCTTATATCAGTCTTGGCACTGAATATGATTGCGTGTGTCAGAAGCATATATAACTGCATTCAGTTCTAGCTGTAGTGTAGTCATATATTCGTTCTTGCTTGGTGGTGCACCCTTCCTGAACTATAACTTGTACTTGTTTCTCATATTGCATCACTTTTCTCCTTGGCACAAACCTTTCGACTTCCTCTTGGCCTAGGCTACTAAGCCTAGGCCGCCTTAAATCTCAACTACCTCTTAAGCTAGTATTGTAACAGCGTGCGCCTTTCTGTAACGATTTCTATATGTATCTCGTGAGACATGTGTGACTATGCACCGAATGACACTACCGATTCAAGAAGGCTTTATTTTCGCCGGTTTTAGAGCCTCTGCACCTCTAGTAACACCCAGGCTACCTGCCTTGTATCTTGCCTATATATAGCCACGTAGTTGTACCCATGTTCATTAGTAATTCACAATGTGAAGCCTCGATCCTCTCACACTTGGTAATAAGATCCTACTTAAACCATCTTGGCTGACAACAACCGCGCCATTTCTGGAACGTAGAAATCGGTTCCGCTTTTGAACAAGCATGGAGGGAATGGGTGACAAATATGTACAAGAAATCTTGCAGTTACGTGCCGAGCAAGAGCAAAAATGTATGGAGCTCCAGCAAATTGCTACACTTCCCGCGAACCAGTCTGCAGCCACAGCGATAGTAGCAACGACAATAGTGGCACTTACGAACACACATGCGTCAGCGGCTACGAACACTACTACACCTTTTGAGGCTCCGAAGCCAAGGCTACCGGAGGCGTTTGATCCGAGCAAGCGATGCAGCGACTGTGAAGAATGAGGAATGAATGAACTAGCACAAGGTAGGGTACAAGTAGGAAACCGTACCCCATAGTGTCTACCCCACTATAGCCTAGACAAGCTATAAGTTTGACACACCCCCATAGGCAAAGTGGGGGAGAACAAGAGGTCACAAGACCAGTCAAGCAAAGCAAAGCAAGCTCAGGGTGGATCACAACGTCACCACACAATCCGAGCACAAGAGCAAGGCCAAAAGGCCAGTTCACATGCAAGATCATATATAAAGGTAAACAAGCAAGTGCAGGTATAGAAAGATCACAGTACAAGCAAGGTCAAGAAGTGAGCAAGTGAGGCCAATTAGGCATAAGACCCAGCATAGTACAGAAGCGCTGATGATCACCAGGCGGAAGTGCCTTGGTAAAGATATCAGCAGTGTTGGCCTCAGAGGCCACGTAAGTAAGGCGCAGCTGACCACGCTGCTGCAGCTCACGAGCAAGGAAGTAGCGGAGAGCAATGTGCTTCGTTCTGTGCTCCAGTCTGTGCTCCCGACACAAGGCCAGCATGGCCTTGTTGTCTACGTACAGAACTGGAGGAGAACGAGGCGACTCTCCTAGGTCAGTCAGCAGGTAGGTGAGCCAGCGTAGCTCCTGTGCAGCCATGGCCCCCGCGTAGATCTCAGCCTCACAACTGGAGCCGAGAACAGAAGACGAGCGGGTAGACCGCCACGAAACAGAGCCGGAGACAAGGCTGAAGGTGTAACCCTGTGACGACCGCTGCGTAGCCTGGTCGTCAGCCCAAGAAGCGTCTGCATGACCTATGAGGACCACTCGACGTCGCCCTCCAAGCACTAGCCCCATGC